CCTTTAAAGCTGATATATCTCCACGCAAAATCCTGGATGAAAGAAAACTGTCAGATAGCCAAGCTGAGCGGATGGCATCCGGATATGAACACGCGCAGACAAAAACGTACAAGCCCGGAGGAAACTGTCCGAAAATGTAAAGAAAAGTGCAGCAGATGGTTCCGTTACTCTTCCATAATAAGTCCAATCTGTGGCACATTTTTCATATAACCTACGGCACGATGCTACCAACCTTTTCGACGCCAGCACCAGGAATAACTAAACTTAAAGGCAATGTCTATCTATATCGATATGGTAAATACGACATATAGCTTCTTGCTGTCTTGTCTACAAAGCGGTTATCTTTAATCTGTCTCGGAAGGATGAAAGGCAATTGAATCGACAGGGCTCTGAACTCACTGTTCATCATGAATTCGACGATCTACCGACCAAGCAACGCTTGTTTATTTCAAGAGATGTGGCCAACCCTCTGAAGATAACGATGACATTTACTGTTTAATCTTCTTGTGCGTGACATTTAAACCATCAAAAAACGCCTTCCATTGTAACACATCGCTAACGACACTTTATGATAGAGTGGCACATAAAGGTGGGGAGTGACTGCGTGTGATATGAATAGGGAACGGAGCAAAACGGATAGCGTGATTGGATTCGAAGGGAATAATAAGATATCAACGTCACACGGCTATTCGAGTATCACAAATAAATAACGATGACACAAACAAATAAATGAACGAATTAGTCCAATGTCATCGGGAAATCGATAATTCATCATTGTTCGGGAACATGTGAAACCGTCAATACGTTTCATTCAAACGTTAAGCGTAAAGCTAAGAAGTTACGTTTCAAACAGCATTATATGCCAACGTTCCGTCTTCCAACACGATCTATGCCAACAGAAAAAAGACGCAGGCGATAGTAGAGCACAGTGGTAGTCAGCTGTTGATCTGAACGCAGCTGGGCGAAGCAAGCCACTGCGACTGTGAACCGCTTATTGACTTTTGCGCTCTTGATACTATCTGGTTAACTTCGAGAAGTTGGCCAAAACGCAACAGGCTAAGACTTATCAAAGTATATCTGATGTATTTCTCCTCGTGATGAAGCACCGCTCCGTGGTGCAGAGGAGAATCATCAGAAGAGATTACGGCGACCGAAGTTCCCGAGAAAAGCTCCGAGCGGGCTAAGCGTCAAGGAGCCGTCATCCTGCACCCCATTCATCCGAGATGAAGGGTGAACGGACGTTCCGTCCAAGACAACTGGCAAGCATAAACAATAGCCAAAACCATTTACTACACTTTAAAGAAATGGAAAGAGCAAACAAAAATAACCCACAGTCCCCATCAGGTCTAATCGCACGACTAGCGGACTAGCAGTGACGGATTAGTATTTAAGGAGCTGCAAGAGCCTAACTGAAAGACGACGACTCAGATAGCACTATTAGCTATACGAGACATGGAAGCTTATAACGACCTATTGCACGAGAAGGACGAGCATGAGCATCGAAATTAAGTAATGGTGATCTCATTTAATTACGAATAAGGATCAGCCAATTGTTGTTAGTGCTGAAAACTTGACACATGAATATATGACAATTCTGTGCATGAACGGGAACAGACATCGGCCGGAGTGTAGTACCCTCTTTAACCTGAACGATGGATGAAGTTACAGAAAGCATTTGCCTAATCAAAGCAACATCAAAATGTCGGAAAAGGATCTAGGGTCATTTCGACGGTAAACTGTTTCAAACAATGACAAGCGCGAGGCGACAGGTTGCCAAAACCGAGTTTGTTCGTCAAACTATGATTGGCGTAAGCACTGGAATCCTCAGCTATATGCATAACAGCGGATAAATCGGTGAATTCTGCCAACTGTTGAAGAGCGCTACAAATTTTAACCGAAATCTGGTGCCATCAATATATAGGATGATAGTGCGTTCATATATCAAGCAAGTTTCAATCTTCGTTCATATCAAGCAGGATGTCAAGTTCCTTTAAACCCGTTAGAAACCCAGTTTGAAAAGACATCAAAAGAAAATAGCTTTCATGATGATAGATAAAAAACAGTTAGAAGCACGGAAAAATGCATTAGGTGAAGCCTTTGGAACCGTCAAATAAAATTTATTTTGAGGAACATCGTTGTGAGTTACGAACGCTTCACTTAATAAATAGATCTTTAAAGGATACTAACTTTCTCTTTCTTCATTCGGTAAGGAATATGCTAGTTACCTATAACCTCCCAATGCACATATACACAAACGCTGTTGCATTCCTACGCTGCTCGCGTACGGTTTTAAAGCAATTACATCTCAAAACTCAGTGGCCTTGATTTAACCAATTTCGCATTGATCGTAGCCGAATCACCTGCATGCTGTCACACACGGTATTACTAAGGGGAATAACATTTCAAATAACCAACTTCATTCCAGCCATGACAACTGTGCGCAGTGCCTATCACGCCGGACACATACCAGATCAACAGTTATTACCATTTTATAGGACAGAGTTCTACAAATAATCCTTTATCCCAGCTTCAGCACGTATCCTCAGAGACCATGACGCAGTAGGACAGCATTACTTGGCGAAGCTCGACTTTAAATTGTTCGCTCTCTGTTGACTTATTGCGATTTTTAAGGCGTTGCCTTAATTCTTCATGGGATGGAAAGCACTTCAATGCCAAGGTCCTCATAGGGTTTAATCCACATACAAATTATATTTAACATAACTCTAACGTTTCGGACTGAGTTTTACCCATTTTTAGGGGACACAAAAACGTCACTGTCAACAGTTTTCCCAACTCGCTGTGTGATGTCTCGTTAAGTTGTATCAAGCTCGCTCCGAAACGTACGGATGACGTTAAATAATATTTATACGCAGAACAAACCCGCGATAAATAATGACGATATTGCCAATTCATGTAATTTTGTTTCCGGTTTTAATTTATTGAACATCTATTTACCAATTCCATATTTTGGTGTGAAAAGACGCGAGCAACAGGTGAACTCGATAGAAATGCGAATGGTCAGATGGTTGCGCAGTGTCTGCATAAAGAACCACCTCAGAAACAGCTTCATAAGAGGCACTCTAGGCGTAGCACTAAATGTAGAACAGCCTATCGAAAACGGGCTCCGCTGATTCGGTCGTGTATAAAGAAGACCCACCGGGTACAATGGAAATGTAGCCCAAGCACTGATACTATCAGAAATAAAAGAGGAAGGCCAAACAAAACTTGGTGCGATGTCATCAAGAACGATATGAAACTGCGAGGAAAGAACGAAGAATTAACGAAAGGAAGAAAAATGTGGAGGCAGCTGACTCGATTAGCGGGCCCCTGCTAAAGGGAACACGCTAGAAAATGAAGATATTCTGGTGTGAATGTCAGTGACTTTCGAAGAGGTCGCCTTCGAACACCGGAGGTACCGAGTTCGATTCCGGCGGATGATAATCTTTGACTTATTCCACGAATTCCCTAGAGCCATGAATTTACTACACTTTGCTTCAGACGGAGGTTGTTCAGTCGAGAGGCCCGGGATCGAGCGCGGGTATAGGTCACTCTTCTTTCTTTCTTCCGGAGCAAATAAATGGGTACCATTTTGTGGGAAGGAAACAAGAGACTACACACTACGAACATATGGCTGTTGTTTGACTCTCTCTTTAAAAATAAAGCACTTCTAACCGATGAGACGAAAATTAAGATCAGCCTTCTAACATTAACTTCATGAAAGAATGGAGCCAGAAAAGACCACATTATAAATGTAAGGAAGACCGACAATTCTCCAACGGTTACAAACTCTCCTTTTTTTGTACATTTTTCCGTTGTCTTTACACCACAACTTCATG